AAGTTAGACTACTTGGTTTTGAATCCTGTCTATGCCTCTTCTAAGGAGCTGTATGGTCTTGAACAAATTACATAATCTCCAAAAGCTTTGGCTTCCTCTTCTGTAAAACGGGAATAATGGTAGTTCCTGTGTCATAAATGTATTTTAAAGATTAAATGAACAGTGAAGATTAAATGAGATCCACCACATAAAACAATTAGAAAAGTACCTGACACTTACTTAGAATTGAAATCATTATTGTTATAATTATTACCATATCTACCATCACCACCACTACTGCATTACTATTTTCTGCATCCAAAGCTGAAGAAAAACTTCCATAGAAACAGCTCTCTAGCTAGACCTAGCCTAATGTATTTGTTTAGAACAAATCCAATAAATGAAACTGGAACATGGACTTCTAACCCTATTATTGCTTTCCCAATTATTATAAAAGATGATAACGCTCTGTCAAATTTTGTAATGCTAATATTCCACGGATTTTTCCTAAAAAGAGTATTAAGGACATTAATAATAAATATGAAGTTAACAGATATAATCCTCAGGGTATGAACTGGTTGAAGAGGTAGATTTAAGATTCTTATCACTATTAGCCTAAGGGTAAAGTTTAATTATAAATTATATTTCTGGTCCTGCAATTTTGGTAATTTAATTTAAATTTAAATTAAATTAATTCAATTAATTTACTTATTAAATTAACAATTGAATTAATTAATTAATTACTTTAAATTTTGGTGATTTAATCATGGTATTAAAAAAATCTGTAATACTTCATCAGTTTTTTTAAAATTTTTAAATTGTTTTTCCAAGAGAATTAATGTGAATTAATGAAATGATGCCTATAACATTTATTTGAGAAACTGGGATGAATACAATTAAATATTAGCAAGTGTCTTCCTGAAAATGTTCTCTTCAAGAATATCTATTGTATATTGTTTCTTAAATGCCTATTTTTCTTGCAGCTGGCATAATCTTTTATTGTTTTTTATTTTTAATAATTTATTTTTTGTTTTTGTTGAGAATATACACAGCAGAATATACACAATTCAACAATTTCTACATGCACAATTCAGTGACATTGATTACATTCTTCAAACATTCTCACTTTCTTTTTCTGAATTGTTTCTCCCCCATTATCATAAACTCACTGGCCCTAAGGTTCCTATCTAATCTTTTCCAGTGCTGCTGTCAATTTGATCCCATGTAGATAGTTCTTAAAAGAACACAATGCTCAAGGCAGATATTCTTTACCTGTTAAGCTACAATATTGTTTGGTTTTAAGACAACTTCAGGGATATTTTTGGTTTAAGGTTTAAAGTTTATCTCAGGATAATAGTTCTAGGGGTTCATCCAACCTCCATCACTCCAGAAAATCTGGATTCCATTAGAATTTGAAAATCTCCTTTTGATTAGGATTCTTTACAGACTCTTTGATCAAAATATTCAGTAGTGGCAGCCAGACACCATCCAGTTCTTCTGGTCTCATGGCAAAGGAGGCTGCCAAAGGCAATTAGTCACACAGTCCATTTCTCCCTCCTATTCCTGACTCTGCTTTTTCCTCTGTTGCTCCAGGTTGAATAGAGACCAATTATTGCACCTTGAATGGCTACTTGCAAGCTTTTAAGACCACAGACACTATGCAATGAACTAGGAAGTAGAACAAAAGCAATGAACATATTAGGCAACTTAATTAGGATGGTCCATGAAACAATGACCCTAAACCTCCAAACCAAGAAATCAAATTCTATGAGGTGTTTGGTTGTACATAAGCAGCCTCAGCAACTGCTCTTTTTTGTTGTTGATGTTGTAAATATATCTATTACAAAACTTTTAGTATCATACACCTAGCATAGTATTTATTTTTCTGAGGGATTTTAATTAGAGACTTTATTAATTTGCATCTTTCCTTGGGAATTTAGAAAAATACTACTACTCCTTGTAGGCATATTACTTTCTAAACTATTCAAATTATTTCTTTTAGTTTATTACACTATATTTATCCCACAGAATAAAATAATCAAAAAGTCATAATGTTATCCTTTACATGGCACACTGTTAGTTTCATTTTATTCCACTGAAAATTGGACTGAGAGAGTTACATCTGGTTTTCAGCAAAAGGCAAAAAATAAAACTACAATAATAATAAAAATATAGAGACAGATGAGGGCCATCAAAAACTTACAACGACACTAACATGAATCACACTCCATCTGATACATGAGAGATACTAGCTGGGCAAAATTTTACATGCTGATTGGAAATTTACTGGTAGTCTATTTATTATGAGAAAGCCAAAGCAATAAGGAAAGAAATGTAAACTCTAAACTAACCTTTTTTACAATATAATCCACTTTCTTTCAATCCACTTATTTTCAAATGCAGTAAAAAACTGTTACTCAAACTGGAGTCCAATTATCACTGGTATTGCAGAACATCCTCTCAAGATAGTATAAAAATTTCTACTATTATGTTTGTATCGGGTGATTCCCCCAAAATTCCAGTGATAAAATGTTAATGCAGTGTTCCCCAAACCTGGGGGTTGATGTGAATTTTCTTACTGTGAAAGGTAAACAGTATACAGACCAAACCTAAGAATATACATAGTGTGGTTTATTTTGTAGTAAGCATACACTTGTATGAAAATAAATCTACCAACCTAGCCCCTGACCTATTTATCTACCATAATATTAAGTATAATATTATCCCACATAGATATTACATCAGGTAAAAACTTAACATTAAGATTGAAGATCATTTTCTCTAAGTGTGAGGAAAAGGAAATAAAGAGTTTCCTAAAGATGGGAGATTCATAAATTCTTGTGTTCAAGACTCAGTATTTTTTACTTTTGAATACTATTAGCAAAAGCTTCCAATTAAAGAATGAAATAAGATGAACTTAACTAAATTTAACATACTGATATGCCCAGATATGGTGACCATATATTAGTCATGGGAAGAGCCAGTACTTGAAGACATAATAGCTGTGTACATTCTAGAAGTGATAAAACAAATCTAGCTGTAGATTCATTAAGCCCACTGAACTCCAAGCAGGGGAATATAAATAAATCTACACCTAGATACATCATGAAAAAACTATAGAAAAAGACAAGCAAAGAGAAAAATTTTAAACACACACACATAACCACACACACACAGAGAAAAAGAGAGATCATCCTCAAAGGAGTAGCAGAGAAACTGAAATCGGATTCCATAATACCAGTAATGGAACTAGAAGACAGTGGGAGGGTATCTTAAATACTAAGACTATAATGGGCAAGCAAGAATTCTAAACCCAGCAAAAAATGTCCTACTGAAAATGGAGGTGAAATAAAGTCATTTTCAAACAAACAAAACATATAATAGTTTTCAATTAGCACAGGAGTTGGCGAACTACAGCCCACGGGTCTGTTTCAGTAAATAAAATATATTGGAATACAGCCACATCCCTTCATTATATATTGTTTACGGCTGCTTTCACATTACAATAACAGAACTAAGCAGTTGTTACAGAGACTGTATGGCCTGCAAGCTAAATATTTATGATGTAGGCCTTTATAGAAAACATTTACTAATCCCTGCATTAGCAAAATGACATAAAGGAAATTTTAAAAAATGCACTTCAGATTGAGGCAAAATGATCCCAGACAGCAGGTCAGAGATGAAGTAAAAAATCAGGAAAAATAAGTAGTTATTGCAAAATAAATATAAATAAGTATATACTATATAAGGTTTTAAAATATGCAGAATTAGAATTCATAACAATAGTAGCATAAAATTATGGAAACAGTAAAACTGAATCAAAGAATTCTGATCCTTAGATGGTCGAGAAGGAAGAAAAAAATTTTGATTACTATTAGTCTGATAAGTGGGGGGTATATTCTGCAATATGTAGAGTAATCACAGAAAGAATAGAAATATAGTATACAACTTCTAAACTATAAGTAAAAAATTAGAACACTGAATTTTTTAGAGCTTCATCAAGATTAGTTATTCAGTCTATAAGAAAGTCTTCTAGTTTGTCCTCAAAGGTTAGTCATTTTAGCAATATTTATAATCACATGGTTGAATAAACAATGGTAGTACATGTGAAAGAGATACTTTAATGAATGTGATTTTTTTGCTTGTTTTACTCATTTAAGAGAAGATTTATTCAAGTACCTCACTGTCTATATAAAGAAAAGACTAAAAGCAAGTAAAACAGAGCCTTGCAAATTCAATCACTGGTAATCAAACTGATGTAGACTTTTGAATTGTTAAGTAATGAAAAGTTATTTTATATGCAGGCTGCACTTGGTGATCTTTATATATCCTTTATAATACCATAGCCATTATTTATGAGGTACTATTAATTATTACTAAAAACTAAAGTTATCTAGACATACAAATCAGACTTGTAACTTAGATGTAATCATACAATTAATAATATAGTATATATTATCTTATATTGATTGTCTTATGTTATGTATTTGTGACAAGGAAAAAACAACTATGATAAAGACAGCCTTAATGTTGTTGCCATGATTAAATCAGGGCTTCAAACCAGTTCCTTCAGGTTCAAGCCCCTGCTGAGAATTGGTATTTCTAACAAGTTCCCTGCTGAAAATTTGCATTTCTAACAAGTCCGGAAGTTATACACAAGAATCACCTGAGATCTTGTTAAAATGTAGATTCTGATTCAGTATACCTGGGGTGGAAATGCAAATTCTCAGCAGAGAACTTGTTAGAAATGCAAATTCTCAACAGGGGTTTGAACTGGATTGAACTGGTTCAAAGCGTGGATTAAACATAAACTTGGATTCTGCAATTCTGACAAATAGAATAAAAGGTAAAGTTACAAGTTACCACATTTTCAATATCAGAGTGATGAAAACAAATTAAAAACATTATAAATTATTAGAAAAAAAGGTTAAATACTGGTATGTCCACTAATGTGTGTTTTAGTAAGATAATAGTAAGGATACTTTAAAAGGAAATATTTCCAAAGAGTTACTTCTACTAACCTGACTTACTTTTCTTTGTTCTTGTATAGCTTTTTGAATTTCCTGAGATACTTTTTCTTGATCTTTTGCATGTTCAGTCTTCCATAATTCCCTTTCTTCAGCATGGGCTTTTTCCAAATTTTTTCTTTCTTCTTCTATGGCTTTTAAAACTGCATCCTGCATTGCTTCTTTCTCAAGCTTCAAAATAAATAATGACCAATTCAAAACAAGGAGTGACTTAGCAATAATTCTTTAAATAAGACAGACTTGGGTAAACATAGAAGACACAAACTTTGATCCTATGGGGTTTGTTTCTGACACTGCTGTTTTTAATGCGTATTTAATAACTGATTTAAAATAAAATCTATTTTTGATTTGTATACAAATATTACTGTCAATTTCCATGGCATTTTTAAACTTCAAGAAAACCAAGCCCAAGCTTACAGTAGTCAACTTCAAACTACTTGGGATCCCTTCATACTCTTAAAAATTATTTAGTATTCCAAAGAGCTTTTATGTTGAATGTATATTTTAATATTTATCATATTAGAAATTCAAACCAAGAAATAATTGAAACATTTTTAATTCATTTAAAATTAATAATATTAAAATGCCCTATACATAAATACATATTTTCTGAAAAATACCTATATTTTTAAAAATTGAAAAAAAAAAAAAGAATGGCATTGTTTTACATGTTTATAAACCACTTTATTGTGTCACTTTATAGCAGACAGCTATATTCTTATATCTGACTTCTGTCTTACTGTAATCATATGCTTTTTGGTTGAAGTGAGTTAGAATCCATTCCACAGCAACTGGGTATGAAGAAACCTAGTCTCACACAAATCTGTGGTTGGAAAAGAGAGGGGTGAGGAGTCTGGCCCCTAAAAACCTACATGTAATTTTTTAGGCCTGACCATAGGCAATTACAAAGGATTTACCAGGCAGGCCACAGGGGGAAAGCTGCCCTCCCCAACAAGACTTCGTGCCTACGTAATGCACTGCTGTTTCTGAAGGTTGTTGTAGCCAAGGTCTTAACCACCTACCCCCACCCCTGCCCTAGCCATGCTCTTTTGAATACCTGTATTCCTAGCCCAGCCCCTCTATACAGAGGTCTCTTTATCGGCAGAGGCCTTACTCAGGCATCTCTGTTGAAGCTTCCTTTCAGGGAAAGGGGAAGGATCTTAAAGACACTTTCCCACTCTGACACAGTACTCAGTACTTTCCAATACTAGTCCTTCTCCTCGCCCTACCCCTCAGGTCCTGGAGTCCATAAAACTGCAGCAGACATTTGTTTGAGGATCCCCCTGGCAGTGAGATGGTCCCCACATCTGCAATGATCCACCTGACTCTAGCCTGGACAGTCTGAAGGCTGTTCCTGGGGAAATATGGAAGAAGGAAAGGCAGCATCTTCTTCTTCAGCTTATACTATTGTAGTTAAGTGACTAAAAGCTTGACTGTTACTAGTGATTAAAAGCTGGACTGTTCCTTTCCTTTTGGCTCACTGTCTTCATCAGCTAAGGCACTTGGCAGCTCAGCTCAGTTCTCTCAGTTCAGCTCCCTAGACAAGGATTACTCAGTAGACTGTTCAGAGATCTGCAGTATTCTTTGATTCCACAACAAAACTCAACAAGTGGCAGTTTCTTAAAAGTCAATTACAATATAGAAAATGAAATCATAGCAATGAGATATTTGTACTGTTACATTACAACACCTTTTGAGTTGAATGGATCCTTCACTGATGCATGATTTAACTACTGTTATTTCAAAAATACTGATTCACTGGGTCATGTAGGCCTACCAGGTGGATCAAAAAAAACCCCCTTAGGGAAAAACCTCTCTCCCATTTACCTCCCTGCTCCCTGCTCTGCACGGGATCCCAGACCATCATCAGCAATTGTCGAGTACCCTGGGTCGGAACTAGGATCTGTCACACACCCAGAGCCATTCTCCCCGCCTTGGAAAGTGAACAAATTAACGGGGAAAAAATAAACTGTTGGCTCCCCTAAGCCAGGAAACCAGGGTAGGCACAGCTCCTTTGCCTAGGCACAGGCATAAGGGATCCATGGACTTTGACTGCCTTTCCCCTGCATAGACTTGTGTAGGCCCATTTCAACAGCATAGGCCCTCATTACTGTAGTACAAAAGGGTATATACCGGAACTCTAACTTCAACTGTTTCAGCAGTGAAGTGGCAGGTTCATGACATTTGACACTGCTCTGCCCATTAAGGAGGGTCTTCAACTACCCACATCAGGGTCCTGAGGACTGGTGGCTTCACCCATGCTACCTAGCAACCTGCAATAGGGGCTCATGAACAAGAGGTGCCCCCAGTCCTTACAGCCAACAGCATTAGGTGCTCATAGTCCGGCTGCAAAACCCACTCACCTACGCACTCTAAGGAACAGGGACACACTTTCCTCTTAGACACTCGGGGGTGGAAGTCAGCCTTCTGCCTTGCTCAGAGTGTGCTCCCCTGCTGTAAGCCAGATGTCTGTGCCTATACCAATCACCCATGCCTGTCTAGCACTGTAACTGGGAGCCTCCACGACACACTTGGTGGCTATCTACCTGGGCACCCAAGCTGAATCCATACAGGAGGAGTGGGTGGACTCCTGAGCTCACATACTTAGTAACACGTCTAACTACCTGGTGACAGGACATTAGCGCTTCAAAGGTGCCAATAATCAAACTAGCTCATACGAGCAGACTACTTGGGCATACCAAAACAAAACAAGAAGCTAGGACACAGTAAGCAAACGTAAAATAAATAAATATAATAACTTCTTGATGGCTCGGACACAACAGTCAATATCAAATCACATATAGAGGCAGTCCATTATGGCTTCAGCAAGCTCCCAAAATAAAGAATCTAGAAATTTTCCAGAGGAGGAAAATTTCTTAGAATTACTGGAGGCAGAATACAAAAGATTAATATACAGAAATCTTCAAGAAATTAGGAAGGAAACTAAGCAAAACGCAGAACACGCAATAGAGAAAATTAAAAAGATTAGAGAAGAGCATAATGACAAATTTAACAGGCTGTAAGAATCCATAGAGAGACAGGAATCAGAAATCCAGCAGATTAACAATAAAAGTTCAGAACTAGACAACTCAATAGAAAGTCATAGGAGCAGAATTGAGGCAACGGAAGTCAGAATTAGTGAGATTGAAGAGAAAGCACTTGACACCAATCTATGAGGAAAAATCAGATAAAAGGATTTAAAAAAATGAAGAAACCCTAAGAATTATGTGGGACTCTAACAAAAGTAATACCCTACAAGTGATTGGAGTAGCAGAACAGGGGGGGATAACAGAAAATACAGAGAAAATTGTGGAAGATTTGTTGACAGAACACTTCCCTGATACCATGAAAGATGACAAGATATCTAACCAAGATGCTCATCGAACTCCATATAAAGCAGATCTCAAAAGAAAGTCACCAAGACATATTATAATCAAACTTGCCAAAACAAAGATAAAGAATTTTAAGAGCGGCTAGGGAAAAATGAAAAGTCATCTACCAAGGAGAGTCAATACGACTAAGCTTGGACTACGCAGCAGAAACTATGCAGGGAAGAAGGCAATGCGATGACATATGCAAAGCCTTGAAGGAAAAAAAAAACAAAACTGCCAGCCAAGAATTATATATCCTGCAAAACTGTCTCTCAAATATGATGGCGAAATTAGGGCATTTCTAGATAAACAGAAGTTCAGGGAACTTGCAAAAACAAAACTAAAATTACAAGAAATACTAAAGCGAGTCCTCCAGTTAGAAAATCAGTAACATCAGGTAACAACCCAAGAGTAGAACACAGGACAGAGCAACCAGATATCAATCCAGATAAGAAGTCACAAAAATAAATCAAAGCTAAAACACTAAAAATAGAGAAACAGACATCAATACGTAAAAGATGACAACATTAAAACAAAAAAGAAGGACTTAAAAAATGTAGATGTAGAATTTTCATATTGAGAGAAAGTCACAGTGATATAAAGAAATAAAAGACTGGTATAAACTTAGAAAAATAGGGGTAAATATTAAGGTAACCACAAAGGAAACTAACAATCCTACAAGTCAAATAAAAAACTAAAAAAATGTAAAGACTCAGCAAGCACAAAATCAACAACAATGAAAAGATGAAAGGAAAACACATGAAGAAAAATGACTCAGCACAGAAAATTAAGCAGAACAAAGAAACTGGGAATAACACACAAAAAAAGACATCAAAATGACAGCACTAAACTCATACCTGTAAATGCTTATGCTGAATGTAAATGGACTAAATTCACCAATAAAGAGACAGAGTGGCAGACTGGATTAAAACACGATCCGTCTATATGCCACTTACAAGAGACACACTTTAGACTCAAAGACACAAACAAACTAAAACTCAAAGGACGGAAAAAAATATATCAAGCAAACAACATTCAAAAAAGAGCAGGAGTGGCAATATTAACCTGTGACAAAATAGACTTTAAAGTAAAATCCACCACAAAGGATAAGGAAGGACACAAAATAATGATTAAAGGGTCAAT